GGGTCGAAGTGAATTTGTAAAGAAGTTTGTTAAATGCAAAATTGAACAGATGCAATTTAAATTTCATTTATCAAATGAAAAGTTTATGTTTCGTATTGAATTATTAAGGTGTTTAATTTATATTTCTGCATTCTTCGGGATCTCTGGAAATTCCAACTTTGAAGTTCTTAAAAATTGCGACTTTGAAATCCCCAAAATTCAGACTTTGAAATCCTCCAAAATTCTGTACTTTCAAATCCTCCAAAATTCTGATTTTAAAGCCCCAAAAAATTCTAACTTTGATATTCTCCAAAATTGCGACTTTGAAATCCCCCAAAATTCAGACTATAAAATCCTGAAAAACTCCGACTTCGAAATTCCCAAAAATTTCGAGTGAAATCCCCCAAAAAATTCCAACTCTAATATCCCCAAAAATTCCGCGTCTTCGCGGGAGCAAGAACAGTTTTCGGACCCCAATGTTGCGTCGCCGTGGTATCGTGGACCACTGGAGACTCGACTAATCGAGAGACCAAGAACCGCTTGAACTTTGATTCTCATCTTTTATCAAACCGCTGAGAAAAAAAGGCGAACTGAAAGGTCGTTACTTGCCCTCGTTTCTTTCCTTACATTTCTCATATATCAATCATGCACACACCACTATACCTATACACGTGGTGACACGCGTCGCATTTCTTAAGATCCTCAGCCGAGATAATTAGTCGCGAAACGCCATTGTACGTGTAGAAAAGTTCATAATCAGGTCGAGTGAACGATGATAACCCGGTAACATCCGGTTTAACATATACATACCGAAAGGTCGGCGCAAATTGAGAATGACGAAGAAGAAAAAATATTTATCGCGTAGAAATGCGCGTCCGTCGTGTGCAGGTTGCTATTTCAGTCTTAAAGCCTGTTTTTCAAAAATTATTTCTTCCATTCGATTTATGTAGTAACGAACACTGGCTTCTTAAATATTAGTACACCCTTTGTGTTAAGTTACATTTCTTTAGCAAATTTAATGTCACGTATCAGCAAAAATTGCATAAAATTATTATTTTTTTCTCAGATCTGAATTTTTTAATCACTATTTACATTTGCTTCACGTTCAATAAGTGCCCTAAATATTTATATTCCTTAATATAT